GAAAACCAGCTTTGAGCAACGGCGTAGTCGAACGGTACACACTCGGTAAGTAATCCTATAATTTTTTGTTTATAGCATAGTTTATACAGATTATTCCCAAAAAATTATACGTGTTTTGGAAATGCTGAGTGGAATTAGTCTAGAATTGGTTAATTTTATATAAGAAAACCTTTCAAACAGCCTTAGTCCGTAAACTTCACACCTATCGGGCTGCGATTGGCTCATGTATTTAATCATTCCTACAATGTAAAATTCGATTAGCGTGGAACATATCTAAGCGTTATAGGGGGGTCTACTGTATATATATAATAGAAATAAAAATATCATTTATCAATTTTGATCACTAAAATATTCATTTTAATAAATTTAGATATAAAATTTTATTTATTATTTTTTACAAAAATAAAATTCTAAGTACAGCAGACTTGCGTACAATGTGGAATGTATAGGAAATTGCATTATACAAGATATGCATTAACAGATGATTTTATGCAAGCGTAAACTTATTATATTATAAGAATTCGTTGCATTATATGAATTCACATTACAAGGGAACACATTATATAGTAGTTCACTGTATTTACTTATATTTAACCCATGCATTCCAAACAAAATTGATAAAATCATTTTCATGATTACTTTTTTTATTGCAATTATACTATAATAAAATTTAATATTAATAATAATTAAAATATCAACAATAAAATTTGTTTATTAAACATTTCAGTATGTTTTTCAAAGAATTAATTAGCATTATAAATTGGATATTTAAGAAAGTGAAAAATTAGTAAAAAAATTAAACTTAATGAAATAGTTTCAAATTAGACNTATGACTAATAAATATATATAATAATAATAATAATATTTCAAATTATATATTAATAAAAAATAATCATAATTCAAAAAATATCATTTTATTTCACATCAAGATTATATATACTTGACATTATGTAATCTGCAAATTCACAGTTTCTAATAAAAAATTTGCATCTCTGCACCAGGAACTAGCTAAATATTTTACACATACAATCAACAATCCTCAAAACATGCCAAAATTTCTTGCATGGGACATCACATACTTGAAACTCAAAAATGACATCATCAGAGAGACAAACTAATCACATGTCTTACTACACTTTACAAAATACTTAATTCAATCATCATAAACAAAATATACAATTGCATAGAACAACACAACAGAGTAACAAAGGCTATCTTAGAAACAATATGATGCAAAGAACATTTTCTCATAGTTTCAGTCATTCTATGATAAGCACACAACAGAAACCTACATGTAGTATTTGTAAATTCTGGAGATTGATTAAAATATATTTAGACATATAAATTTTAAAAAACTTTCAAAAGAAAATTCACTGATCTTTTTAACAGTCCTTTTTTTTATTATTGAAGACTTATGCACTTCAAACTGTATTATTTAACAGTTCTTCTTCAGTGGTAGAAACACACAATAACTTGAAAGCTCTGGTATACAAGAGTTCCAAGATCTCTTTAATAATAAAATAAGGACTGTTTAAAAGATCAGTGTAATTTAATCATATTTATTATTTTAAAGTGAATTTTCTTTTGAAAGTTTTTTAAAATTTATATATATAAATATATATTTTTTAAAAAAACTACATGTAGTACATACATATTACAGGAAGGCATTTGACAGCATCATGCACTCATAACCAAATACACATAAGGCAAGGCATTTTCCAGAAAGATTCATTAACTCTACTTAATGTGTTTTTATGGTTACATGTCTGGCCTTAAATCCACTATCCAATATGTTAAATGATAGTAAATATGGATACAGATTCAAACACAACAAAACAACAAAATACCATATTATCTCATCTTATGTAGTTGGATGACAAAATTTTAAGCATTCACACAAACACAGCTAAAATCATCTATTAGAAGTTATACACAGTTACTCCAATGACATTCAAATAAAATTTGGCCTAGATAAATGAAGAACACTTCACATAGAAAAAGGAACCCTGAAGAAAAATTATTATGTACTCATAAGTGGAGACATCATTAAATCTATAGATAAGAGCAAAGTATACAAATATTTAAGATTCCAACAGGTTAAACTCACAGAACACATACAAATAAAGCAAGGACTAACAAAAGAATAAAACAGCAGATTAAACTCAAAACTACAACACAGATGAATGCAAAACATACATTTAAAGCAATCAACAAGCATGCATACAGTTCCACATGCACAGCAATGTCATGTTCTATAAATTTTAAATTATGTATTCTGATCTATTAAAAACAGTAGAAAATATTTGTTTATTTATTAAAATCTTTTTCATTGTTGGATTCCTGATGATATTTTTGTTAAGTATAGTACTTTCATCCAGTTTTTCTTGTATTCATTGGTGTTTACTAAATCAACATATATGTTGCTTCAGCATGGACATATCTGGATTTATACATTGGACACACACAGAACTAAACCAACTCCAAAATACAAACATCATTAACAAAACACAACAAACACCACTCCAAGTTGTCCATAGAAAGACTGACTTTTAAAGAGGGAGAATGAGGCTGTACAGAAATTATAAATCTACACTACAAACATCAAGTCAAAGTGATGGTGACTCATGCCTCTTTAGAGAGATGAAAGGGTTCATGACTGCCATACAAGACCATGTTATAAAGACATGAACTACAATGAAGATACATTTTAAAAGCCAACACTTTACAGAGGATACTTGTATGAAGTGTCATGTCATGTATGAAACCATACAACACATCACATCTGGTTGCATAATGTAAATATNAAATAAACAAACCTTACACTGATAATTAGAATATATAATTAAGAATCTACTTAATTCTGAAAGCCAAATACAGTAATTGAGTAATATTTTAGCGCTCTTTTCCACCTTTTCTCAGCTCAAACTGATTGGAATATGGAACTTAGACAAAAAGAAAATATAAAATTATAAAATATATATGATTTAAATTTACAATAATAATAATAATAATAATGGTATAAATACACACAGATATTAAAAATACAAACAAATCAATAATAATAACACTACCATCCCAGAGTAATATTACATTAAATATAGATGAATAATTAAAAAAACTATGTATTGGGTTGAATCATAACTAATGTCATTTTTTCTGACTTGTTTTCATGCTGTAGTATAACTTGTAAATTACACCAATCAGCCCAAATGTTCTAGTTTGTTAATTACATAATGGTTTTAATAACAATTTTCATAGTGGTTTTTGATTATTTTTTAAAAAGTGAAGTTATTAGTGTCAATCAAAATCAACTTCTCAGAAGAACATTTAAGGCATGTAATGTTATATAACTTTACAAAAGATAATGCTGCAGTTACAGTAACAAACAACATATTTAGTGTGTATGATAGTGAAGCCTTGAATATAAGGAAATGTCAGTGTTGATTATGAAATTGCTGCAATAGAATTCTGATCTGAAACTATCTACACAAGAAATTGTAGAAAAATTTGGAGTATCTCAATCAACAGTAATTAGGCAGTTACACCAGCTAAAAAAGATAAATAAGTGTAGGATATGGGTTCTACAGGACCTTACTGAAAAGAATCATCTGGACTGCTTATCTGTACGTTTGACTTCTTACTAGACAAGAGCAAATCTCATTTCTGGATAGAATAGTAATGAGAATGAGAAGTGGGCATTATTATACACTAATAACATTTGTAAAAGACAGTGGTTAGATCCAAAGTCTATTCTAGATCCAAAACCAAAATATGGTCTTCATCCTTAAAAAGGTGTTGCAGTATGTGTGGTGGGATATGAGAAGAATACTGCACTATAAGTTGTTGAATCCAAATGAAATGATAAATGCTACTTTATACTGCCAGCAATTTAAAAAACTTCAAAAAACGTCTATATTTGACAAACAGGAAGAATGTTACTTTGTTGCAGGTTGCAATAGCCACCCAACAAAAATTAAGAGCTTATTTGGGAAGTTCTCTCTCATCTCTCTTATAGCCCCAATCAAGTACCTACAGATTACCACCCTTTTCAATCCCTTTAAAACAGCCTTAATTAAAAAGTTATAATTTAGAAGAAGCTATTCAGAAGCATACAGAAATTTTTTTGAATCAAAATTACATGATTTTTATAAGAAAGACATTGAAAAACTTGTAAATCAATGAGAAAATGTCATATTTAATAAGAAACATTATATATTGGATTAAATACACATTTTTTGTGTTAATAAGGTCTATTAAAACTTATAAAAAAAAAACATTACTTATGACTGACCAATAATTTTATAGTACAAAGTCATCAGCATTCTTTAATTGTTATGTATATGCAAAATCAATATGAATAACAATATGTTCATTAATGAATGTAAAATGTTTAAGACAAATAAATAGTTGTTACAAAAATTTTAGGGAAATATGTTTATACATTTCTCCAATAGTATTAGTTTATGCCAATTAAGCATTGATATTTCTATCCAAGACCCATTTTGAAAGTCCTCAAGCCTTTCTGCATTAGGATTTAAAAGAAAAAGAAATGTGCTTAAACTCTTGTGTAAATTTATAAATATAGATCTAACATAATAGTTAAACTTATCAATCTACAAATAGTTCCAATCCAATAGTTAACTTTATTTGGTTTTCAGAATTAAGCAGCTTTCTAATTATTTTTATCATCATTAATAGTAATATTAATGTAAATATTACTTACAAAGTGAAGTTTCATTTCTAATATTTTCAAAAAGAATATTTAATGTCTGAAGAAGCTGTACACAGTATGTTTTTCAAAGAATTAATTAGCATTATAAATTGGATATTTAAGAAAGTGAAAAATTAGTAAAAAAATTAAACTTAATGAAATAGTTTCAAATTAGACAAAGATTGTTCTGCTTTAGCCAAATTAACAGAAGGCAACAAATCATAAGTGAAANATAAAATTTAATATTAATAATAATTAAAATATCAACAATAAAATTTGTTTATTAAACATTTCAGTATGTTTTTCAAAGAATTAATTAGCATTATAAATTGGATATTTAAGAAAGTGAAAAATTAGTAAAAAAATTAAACTTAATGAAATAGTTTCAAATTAGACAAAGATTGTTCTGCTTTAGCCAAATTAACAGAAGGCAACAAATCATAAGTGAAATAAAACTGAATATCTAAACTCATAACTGAAATTAACAAAAGAAAAGAAAGGCTATATAAATTCCCGATAGAAGTATTTAGTTAAAATAAATTAAATAAATTGAACAATATTTCAGATAAAATTTCATTCCTTATAATAAAGTTTTTGGTTGAGTACTGTTAATAATAACTGAAATCTTTAAAAGTCAACCAACACTGCAGTATTACAATCTAATTACAGATTAGATTGTACTGTACTGTAGAGTACAGTACAGTACATGTTATAATGTTTTATTGAGAGATTTTATAAATGTTACTATCTGTAAACCAAAGTAGCTTGCTCTAAAAAGACATAATTCTGTTAAAACACATTTTTTTTTTCTTTCAATTTAAAACTATAAACAAAATGTATAAAAATTTACAAAATTTTTAGCACCTAAAATTATTTTATTTTCTGAAATAAACATTAAGCCAAAATTTGTTTACATTAAATAATATTTTTTTAACAAAACAAATCAAATTGAATGAATCAATTTCATTTATGAGGAATTTGGTTTTAATAAATTAACCCTTTGCATGTCTGTGATATGACACTTTTCTGATGAATTTTCTACGAAAACACTAATAGAGTAATAGTATGTCACAAACATGCAGTCTTCCTCTTCCTTCTCCTAGTGGTTGTCCAAGGTCATACTACTATATTAGAGAACGTCAATGTCTTGGCATTTAGCCAGAGCTGTTCACTTGAAAATGCAGATCTCATGTTCAAATAATTTTCTCCCACATAATATCTCATTATTATAATCAAATCTGATGTCATAAAATGTAATCTATTTTCTTTTTACATATCTAAATATACAATAATTACAGTTTATATATATGCGTATGTGCACACAGACACTTTTCCTCATATATGTGATAATGATCTATATATTTTTTTATGAAGAAATATTTAGATTTAATAAAGATTAGCTTTAGAAATTTTTAAAATGTTATCAACTACATTGAAGAAAGTTATGTATAAAAATTAACTAACTTTATACATATTTATTTACTTAATGCTCAATTAAATAAGTTGTTTTAAATAACCAGTATGTAATTAACAATTCATTCTCTTTCTGTAAGAGAATGCATATGTGATCTAAAACAACACACATCATTAACTTGTTTGGATTAGTAAGACAATTGTGATTTAAAAAAAATATAAATCAAAATTTATACTTCAATTTGTGAATGCCGCCTTCTTTTAGTTAAAGAATATACATAAAGTGGTATAAGAAGTCTATTTAATAGATGATCAGTTAAAACATCATTCAAAGCTTCAATTTGAAGACACAAAATATCATTGAGATAATGTAGATGGTCTAAATGTTCTGCTACTAAATCTGCTAGTCTCGTATAACTTTGATGACTAAATTGGATGTAAAATGAAATTTTAAGAAAATATGTTATATAATTATAAACATCACATAACATTAAATGCATGAATATTACTTACTCCGCATCTTTTCTGACGCAAGAATCTAACTCTAAAACATGGTTGCCAATAAACCAAACAAGATTGGAAAAATAAGGTGCAGCAGTTTTGTCCCGAATAAATTTTAACATTGCTTTATCATCCACTTTATTTTAAAAATATTTTAAAAATTAATAACATTTTATTATAAAAATTTTTTAAATAACTTAACAGTCTTTACCTTTAAAAACATTTAGTGTGAGTGTGCGAACAGCAATTCGTACCATACTTTCACCATGATTGAAGAACTTGATAGCTTCTGTATATAATGGAAAATCATTTGTATGCTAAAAAAAATGTAAATAAAAAGATAAGTAATTATAAAAAATGAATGTATATCTGAGAAATCTAAAGACATAAAATAATCAAAAATTAATATCATATACATTCATTAATTCTAATTTCAAGTGAAAAATGATACAACTGAGTTTACAGTATTAAAATTTTCAGTAGTAATTACATTATCAATAAATATTAAAATTAGAAACTGAAAATAGAATTCAGAACTATTTAATACGTAATATAAAAAGTCTAAAAACTGATCACTAGCAAAATACTATCTAATTAAATGAAATTTCTAACCTTACGATCTCTTAACTTTATTAAATTTTTTTACTAAAGAAAATTTCACTTGATAATACAGAAAAATTGTTACATATACATTTGTAATGTATATAATAAGATGTAAATATTGTACAAGAAAAATTATTGCTGTTAATGTTTAATAGAGATTTTACAGTTTGTAAATTTATGTATTGTTATAATATATTTGAAATAGGGTTTGTCTACTGAGCATCAATTTCTAGTTTTCTAGTTCTAGTTTAGTTTCCAGTCAAAACAACAGAATAATCATCACCACTCTTTTTTATCTGAGATTCACAATTTTATAAATGAGCTGAAACTAAATATCTGCAAAAACAAATTTAATAACAGAACTAATAATCATATTGAACATTATATATAGCTATAACAGAAGATTATCAATTCTTCATGATAAAACTCTGAAGTAATGAGCATTCTGTGGGAAACATACATTAGAACAAACTTGGTTGAACTAAATTGAAAAATAAACTAGTTTTATATAAATGCTTTAAATGGAAGCAGAAACACTAAAAGGTAAATAATGTTAATCATTGTTGCACACTCAGAGATATACAAATGCTCAAAGAACACAATCTTTTTCCACTTTCAATAAAAATACATGCATTTAATTATTTGTGCCTCTATTTCCTTAATATTTTAATTTTGTTTTTTATATTTTATATTGTCCACACAGACCTTGTTTATAAATAGGACCTATTATACTGATGTAGTTTCAAATTAGCAAAAGGAGGCAGTCTTAGTCAAAAAAATAAAGCAAAATGTCTTTATTTTCACCTATATACTCTTTTTGTGTGTTTTGGAACTTTAGACCCCACCTCAGCAGGTTTACAACATTCTGTAATAATATATAAAATTAAAAAATATATATATATTACACCTGACAAAATTTAAAAACACTTGCATCTCTACTGTCTGATATTAATACAACAGTAATAATGGCAAAGTATCCAAAAGATAGAGCTAAACAATTATAGGAAAGTTTTTCTAATTTACACCTTATTTTCTTGCTATAAAAAAATTTTTAAACTTCTGTACAAAATGTTAAAATTCTCACTCACTAATTAATTTTATTTAACTATATTTCCATTCTGTGTTTCTTCAAGTTCTCATTTCCTCTCTATTCCTTCCTATTGCTTCCATTTTAAATATCTCTCTATAAATAAAACTGTTCCATGATTGGTGGATTTATCTTCCTAGATTATCATTAATTCTATTGCCTTGTTTTTTTATGTAAATATGCTCAAATAATTGCTTTTTATAACTATTTCTTTCTTTTTTCTTCATTTTTATTGTATTTAAATTAATTTTGCATCCTTCTTTATGACAGTGCTTGGCCACTGCTAAATTTGCATAATTACATTTAATTTATCTTATATGTTCCTTTATACATATTTTAAGTTTTCTTTTTGTTTCCCCTATGTATATTTTACCTTGTCCACAACATCAAAACAAATATACTACTCTTTTTTCTTCTATTATTTCAGTGTTTTTGTTATTGTTTGTATAATATAAATATTTTTTAATAAATCATTTTTTTTTGGTATTAAATTTATTTTATTATTTAAAAGTTTCTTTATTCTTTCAAATAATTTAGGAATATATTTAAATTTCATATATTTTTTATCATCTAAAAATGTTTTATTTCTATTTTCATTTTTATTACTTTACTTATCCATTCTAATAATAATTTTTTAGGGTGATCATTAAACAAATACAAAAAAATTCCTCTAACTTAAAATCTGTAACTTGAATATTTCTTTAACTTGAAGAAAACAAAGTACTCAGTAGGTCTCGATGGAAGAGCATAGGAATTTAACATCTCCAACTTGAATTTTTTTCAAGTGGAAGTTTTTCAGAGTTTCCGACATAGAGTTATGTTACTTTCAACTTCCCTGACTCAAGTTTTAGTATTTATTCTATCCAAGGTGATCCTAATTATCAATTTCCATGAAATTTTCAGACAGTCAGTTGTATCTACTCTCTAACACCAATTTTCAGACAACGTTCCAGTCCAACGCGAGAGGTCCTCTCACTTTACTTCAACAAGATGTAGAGTACCTGCAAAACTGTTTGATTCCATTAGTTACATTGCACTTTTTGCTGAAAGGCATTACACAGGCTGTTTAAAAGAAAAGAAAAAAAACTATTAAAGATTCTTTATGTAATGCAAGAGAGATAAATATACAAATCTATTCAGAACTGATATTATATGCTCACATTACTCTGTTGTTGTCTAACTTGAACCATTTGTAACTTAAAGTTTTTCCTACTCCTTGGAACTTCAAGTTAGAGAAGTATTATTATATTTTTACTATTTGTTGTATTTTTTTCCTGATTTTCTATTTTACTAGTTCTACTTTTAATTTTANCATATAATATCGGGCTATATTTTGGCAATGCCAATTTGAATTACTGATTAATTTGTCCCTAGAGGGAGGTGTTAGACACCATCTCGTATTAAATTTAAATCCATATTCTAATTCTTGGTTTCTTAAAACTTATATTTAATTGTAATTTGAACCAGCTAAAATCATTCTAAAGAATGCTTTTCAACCAGATCAATTACCAGATGTATTCTGATGATTTAAAATTGGAAAAAAGTAATAAGCAATTCTGTTATTACCCTTTTTTCTCAAATTATATTTGCGTAACAATCATTATCACTAATAGAATTCATAATTTTTTAATAATTTACATAAATAAAACCTAATTCAAAGCTCATAATTTGCATTTAATATTACTGATAAAAACTGTACATTTACAAAAATTACTAATACTATTTTATTAAAAATTTGCATAAAAAACAACTTGGTTAGCAAAACAAAGTATTTTTTTTATAATTAGGCGGTTTAAATAGATAATGTTGCAAGGCAAACAAACAGCAAAATGAATGCATGCACAAAATATGAAACAACATACAATACAAAAGACGAAATCAATAGCAGAGCTTATGCCTCCACCTTTCTAAAAATGTCAGAAAAGTTTATATTTGATTTAGTCACTGAGTTTGGCAAGACAAAAATTTTTATGAGTGCATATTTGCATTTTTGTTATAACATATGAAAAAAGTGAAACCTAACAATATGGAATTCTATTTTAGGCTCTACTATACAGAAATGTCTGTGATGCTTCTAAAAGTTCAGGGATGTGACCAAAAAAAATTTTACAATTAATTTGAACAACTTTGTAATGGTTCTGAACTGATTAAAAATGAATAATGATTATACTGACTAACTTTAAATATGAATATATTTTGAAAATTAATGACTTAATTTGATTTAAAAAAAGACTAACAATCCAAAAATATCCAATTATTTTGAACATTTCATTCAGCTGAATTCAAAATATTTTATCATAAGGTGAGTCAATGTAAAACTTATTCTGTATCTTTTCTCATCAGATAAAAAAAAACATGCTTTTTGATTTTTCTAATATGCATGATTATGCAAGTTCAGATCTGAACTTTAATATGTACAGTATATTAAACATAATTTTAGATCATAACCCGTATACTGTTAGAATAACTATGTTTAACAGTGATTCAATAAAGAAAAACTAGCATGTTTTTACAGTTAACCCTACTCTAAAATAATTTTTATTAATTTAATCTGCATGTATCCAAATGTAATCTGATAAACATTAAATAAATCCATTTAAATCATTACATAATTTTTGTACTAAAAGATTTTTCTGAAAAAAGAGAATTTTTGAAAGCATGTAAACTGATGAAAATAGATATATAAAGCAATATTGCTCAAAAATATGCTGTATGAAAATGTTATCATTTAAACTGAATTAATTGTTGAAATGTAAAATAAACAAACACATAATGTGATCACAATTTATATATTATGATAAATAATTTTAAAATAATACAATCTTAAAATGCAAAAAACAATTATTAAGTCTTATTACACATGTAAAAGTTAAAAATAATGTATATAAACATATTCCAAAGCCCAATTCACTACAATAAAGCCACACCAACTTATCATATAATATCGGGCTATATTTTGGCAATGCCAATTTGAATTACTGATTAATTTGTCCCTAGAGGGAGGTGTTAGACACCATCTCGTATTAAATTTAATAATTATAAATTAATTAAATAATTTTAGACTAATTTGGAAGAAAAGAATCAGTCCAAAGCAGAACTCCAACCTGCAACTCCTGCTTGCCAAGCAAATGCGTTGCCAATTATGCTACCTGGACCTCCAGTCCGATCTCCTCTTCCAGGTATATTTAATTTGCATATAACCATCAACTGGGGACACATTCAGCACCCTTGTGTTATAAACTCCCACACATTTTTCTTCCAGATGTGTGCGTTGTGTGGGAGTTTACCAGATGAGGGCACTGAGTGCATTCCCAGTTGATACCAGTTGATAGTTATATCATGAGTTAAATATACCTGGAAGAAGAGATCAGACTGGAGGTCTGGGAAGTGTAATTGGCAACACATCCTCACAGCAAGAGGGAGTTGTGGGTTTAAGTCCCGCTCTGGACTGATTCTTTTCTTCCAATTATTCTAAAATTATTTAATTAAATTTAATACGAGACTGTACCTAATGCCTCCCTTAGGGACAAATTAATTCAAATTATCATCACCAGAGTATAGCCTAATATTATACAAGTTGGTGTAGCTTTATTAAAAATAATGCATTATATGTATTGTTCGTGTGAGGTTTAGAAAACTCCTGACATAAGCATACCAATGAAAACAATCAGTATACAGCACTTACAAGGTCTGTTCAAAAAGTATCGGACCTTTGGTCGGCAAAAATAAANTGTTGTTTTTTTTTCCTGATTTTCTATTTTACTAGTTCTACTTTTAATTTTATCTATATACATTTTAAATATATCAAATTTATAATTAATTACTTTAGACCCTTGCATAGGTTTAACATATTTTTTATACTCTAATCTATCTTCTTTCCTTTGTATTGTAATATCTGAATAATTTATACTATTTTGTTTTTCTTTTTCTATTTCAAATATACAGTTCAAACATTCAAACAAACATACTATTTCAAACAAAACAGAAACAAATGACCAAATTAAGGAAAATATACAAATTTTCCTTAGTTTGATTTACTTGTTCCACTATTAATGCCTCATTTAATTATTTTGTCAAAAATAATTATACAGTCATCTGAATACCTATTACAAAATATTGCTTTATTTTTTTGACTAAGACTGCCTCTTTTTGCTAATTTGAAACTACACCAGTATAATAGGTCCTATTTATAAACAAGATCAATGTGGATAGTATAAAATATAAAAAACAAAATACATGCATTTATTTTATTATAAATATCATATTATCTGAAGAAAAATTGGTATGGTAAAAAAGAACATCCTAATTTTGCTTCCACATAGTGCCAAAGAACACAATAGAACTATTGTGAAAATTAAAAATTTTTGCTAGACAATTATAAAATCATCAATCAACAAAAAGCATCTGATAAAAAAATCAAAGAACATTAACAAAAAGCATCTATTACATACACCTAAATTATGATTACTTTACAATTATATATATAAAGAAAATCACACTTAAAATGATATTAAATTCAAAATACATTAAATCTTTTATATGTTAATTGAAAAGCATTGTTGCAGATTCACATTACTGATTATTGTGACACATATTTTATTTACATATTTTAGTGATAGCAAAAATCTTTAATACTGTAATAACCATTATTAAAGTAACTATGTAGCTAAAGATAAACTTTATGTAATATTCAAACATTTAAATCAAAATAAAAATATCCAAGAAATCCAGTGTAAGAAAAAGAAAACCACAGAACAACAAGAATAATCTAATACTGTAATTTTGAGAAAAAACATATATTTGAAAAGGTACTGTATATTAAACATATTTGAAAATTGGAATGCAATCATTCTATTTGATGGTAATGTGATCTGATCTGATATATTGTTACTGAATGAAATGATATCATTCTAGCCAATGAGGAAAGCTTTCATAACCACTTTTAGTAAAAAAAAAAAATGAATGACAATTTGAAGACTTTATAATTTAATATGTAAAGGTAATGTAAATTATATTTTTAGCAGATTAAGTTTGATTTGTGATTAAAAATATGATTACCGTAATATTTATTATATACAATCTAAAAACTTATAATTAGATATTAAGTTAATTTATTCTAAAAACAAAGCAATGAAACAAAATGTATTAATGGTAAAAAAAAACCTAAAAATTATAATTTAGTTTATGATATAAGTATATCATTATAAAAAAATACATACCTCATTATAAAAGAAGTGAATTGTATGAGTATTAAGCTTTAAAGATAATGTTTTCAAAAACGATATATAATAAGCCATAACCTACAAAAGAAAAAAAATTATATTTTTCACATTTTAAAACATCTTATGTCAAAGATTAGATTTAAACAAACATTGAAATTAGATTTACAAATAAAAATACTAAGAAATGAAACATATACACATGAGAAATGCGAAAGGCTGTTTTTTAGTCTAACAGATGCATGGAGTTTCAAGGTAGCTAGCCACTGGAGTTAACAAGAATATTGTCCAGTTTATTGTCAAACTCTGGCTAGTGGCTAACTTGGCACAGCATTGCACCAGCATCAAATAGCAAAGTTAAACATTGTTCAACTTTGGAGTTGTATTGATGGACCAAAGGTAGTATTTGACAACGTGATGGCAAAATTTATTTTGATAATAATACACAGAATAACTTTAATCCATCATCATTGAGAGCAGAGATATTCAGGATTATGGAATTTTTCAAACTTAGCTGTTCAGACATTATTAGCGATATAAAATGTTATTGTTAACAACAAATAATAGTTATATTAATGCTTATACCTGTACAGAATGCTGGCCTTAATAAAAAAAAAACAAAAATTTTTTACAGTTAATGTCTTTTTCATAAGAAACAATAAATCCTCAGTTTTTTCTTAAATAATAAGCTTTTGCACAATAAAAATAAAGTTCTTGAACAATTGTTTCTCAACAAATTTTATTACCTAGATCATATCCGAATAATTATCAATAAACCAAGATTTATCATATTTCAGAAATGACAATCTGAACTTGGAAATACTCTTCACTTATTACAGATTTGTTTTCTAGGATAAATTAGCAAAATTATACATAATATATAACTTTACTAATGCAGTAGAACCTCAATTTCCTGAGGTAGTGCAGACTGATAGTACTTCAAATAAAACAGACAGCAAGAATCATTCTGATTAATTAAAAATTACAAATAAGTTATAAAAGATTTACATGGTATCACTTTTATTTTTAAATCTTAGTAACTTTAATTGTAATAACAATATTTTTTATATCATTTATTATATAGCTAATACATACAACAGTTTTAAGATCAAAAATTCATATTATTGTAGTTAAATTTTAATTAATTTGAATGGTTCATCTTACATAGAAGTTAACAGGAAAAAAATATATTAATACACGTTATCATTTAAACTTTTCTTTAAAAAGTCCTTTACAGTGTATTCACTCACAGGTTGCCCTTGCATAATACAGAGCCTCACTTAACTGGGATTTTATTGTATATAATAAATAGTTTGAAAATATTTAGATATTTTCAAACTATTATTTATAATTAAAATTAATTTATATTAACAATAAATAATAAATGCATTTTATTTACCTCTTCATCAGAAAAATCAAACTTATGTACAATAATTGAATTCACATGATTATTGGATAAAAGATAATCTGAAAATAATAATAATAATAATAATAATAATCATTAAAAACTTAGTTGAATGTGCAAAAAATCTTTCAACAAATACAAAATTATATATTAACTAAAAATAATATACATATATTCTAAACACTATTTTTGATGATTATTTCTAGATGACAAAAGTTTTATATACTGTCAGCAGTAAAAAGCAAAAAACAGGCAGCTGTCATTTGAAAATCAATTTATATATACAGTCAACCCCCCTATAACGTGCGTTCCTATAACGACAATTCCTATAACGTAGCAAAAAAATTGTAGCAACATTCGTATAAAGCATCTCCTAAAACGTCTTCGCCGACTCGTTTCGCAACAAGATTGATAGAGTCTGGACCAATAGTGGATGAGAAGCCGAACTACTTTCCTCCAATCCTGCGCCATGCTACGGAGCGGCTAAATTGAGTTGGTATCGTCTGTACAGTATTATATATAAATTAGGTACTGTACATATAATTATATATTAATTATATATAAATTAGGTACTGTATATATAATTATATATTAACTTATTGTAACTTTATTATAATTAAATATATAATTTCTCGTAAGTTATTATATTAATTAATTAAAATATTTCTGAAACGTTTATGTAGTAATATGTTATAATAATAGTACATTCTTTACCTTTACATCCGTTTGACTGGTTGAAATCAAAATCAACCAACATTTTCACATCTAACTATTCCGAGAATAAATCATATCGTCATATTGATTTACATGACCTATAATAATGCGAAATGCCGTGTCCCTCTGGTCAAAATTGACGGTAGCGAATTCGAAGCAACGACAAACGGCACAAACAGAAAACAAACCGAAATTTAATTTAATTTAAATGGCCACTAAACATTTTCCATAGTAAGAATAACGACAATAATTCGTATTATTAGAAATTCCGCCAATCGTCGTTAAGACGATTATTTTTCCACCAATCGCTCGATGCGGGTGTCTTTAACTTTTATTTTCGTTTCCGTCAACCAATCGTCGTTCAAAATATTAAGAAGACGAACTTCTTCCAGTTTGAATCGAGAAAGTTTATATGTATGATGCAATTTCATTTTAAATAATGGAACTGAAGTTTTCATTATTTACTTGGAGAAAAGTAATTCGATACAAGTAGTTAAAGGACGAGTACGAGCGGAAAATAAATTTAAACAGCAAGGAATTAAGTTTCATTTGTAATACTTTACCATTCAATTGTAATACTAGTGTCTATTATTTTACACTCCAATATTATATAGGTTTATATAATCCCGGAGCAGTTACGAGTTTTGGATATCTTAAAACAGTCTAATATATAGGCTATATCAGAAAGTAAAAATAGGTTATTTAAAATCAAGAATTCCTATTCTTAAAGATCTGATAAGATTACAGCATTTTTAAACAGTAAATTTACTGTATTTTTGAAAATATTGGAATAAGAAAATTAAGAAGAAGGCAATTTCAATCCGTTATACGCCGAAGTTTAGCCATAATTTTAATTACGACTTTAATAAATAGTTTTCCGCGTTTACAAAAAGCAGTTGCGTAAATGTAAAAACCTAAAAATAATTAAAAATTTGAGAAAAAATACGCCGAATCATCATTAATTACACGATGACGGCTGAATTAACGATGTTGGCTTAGCGAAGGATGCGCTTAAACGCTCTATTTATGAATAATTAATTATAATTTACTCTTTTTCCCCACGAACTATTTTCGACGCAGCCAACAATACTTTGCCATTAATAACAAGAGTGATTTTTGTACGACAAAAGAAAATCAATGTCATTAGTTAATTACTCTCTGGTATCAACGTTTTTATTAATATAAATATCTTCTAATTTTTTATTATTAATAATTCGTATCCGATTTAAAATAATTACGAGTTATTATGTCTGTTAGAAGAATTGTTATCCTGGCTCACGCCGGAACGACGTAGAAATGAATTTGAAAATAATTAATAATAAAATAAATGGAATTAATGTAGCTGGTTATTTACTAAGACAAATTAATTTTAGTTTCCGAAATAAATAAGTTGATCAACGACATTATTTGGGTAAACACTCCTCGTTCCAATTATAATCCGCATATCCGATAGAGTAAAATATTCGCCAGGATAGAAAAATAGACTAAAATATCTTTAGAAAATCTCTAATTATTATAATTAAGGGCGAATCTATATGAAATTTACTGGTACAGTAACTAAGTTATTCGAGGAGCTTGCAGAAATCAGAAAAATTCAAAAAACAACGAACACTTTTAGCTATAAGATGATCAAATAGTAATTAAACAAATAATTATTGCGTAAGACTATGGTTAATTCATTTAAAATTACCTTAAAAATCTGTCATATATAATTAACTAGAAGAAGAAACTCTTTCATATTTTTCTAAATTTGAACTTTTCGTGTCGTTCGTGATCCGAATATTTTAATATTGAAAATTTGTTTACTTCGCTTTGGCATTTTGAATAACTCGACCGTGTAAATAATCCCGCCTTTTATTTAAA